AATTTAGGCTTGAATAAGGACTGGGAATGGCTGAGCCATTACAAACATTGAATCTATCTCCCCTTGTAAGTATTCTCACACTTCTTATCAAACTGTCTGTACTGGGCTATCTTGATTATCACTTCAAAAGTTTTTTCCCCCCCCCCCACTTACTTAATTGGCCTCTCAGAGTTGGTAAGACAACTTCCACCCGTTCATGCTCTCTGTATGTGTGTGTATATATATATATATCTCCTCAATATATGTTCCATTCTATATGCATCTGAAGAAGTGGGCTGTAGCCCACGAAAGCTTATGCACTAATAAATTTGTTAGTCTCTAAGGTGCCACAAGTACTCCTGTTCTTTTTACCTATGCTAAACAATCTGTTTATACAGATTGTACCTGGTGTTTAGCTGTGACATTCTGAGTACCTTTCCCAGACCCGAAGAAGAACTCCCTGATCCCTGTAGCTCGAAAGCTTGTCTCTGTCACCAACAGAAGTAGGTCCAATAAAAGATATTACCTCACCCATCTTGTTTCTCAAATATTCTGGGACCAACACGCTAGAACAACATTAGTCAAGGAGAGGCTAACCGCAATATCCGGGGTTTAAATGACCAAAATAATAAAGGTCCCTCCAAAGATTATGAATAAGTTTTTTATCTTGAAGACATCACTTTATAGTAGTTATCCCATGAATTAGTCTTTCTTCTGAGATTTTCTTTTTTGGTCAGTATCTTGTTTTAAAGTACAATCTTGCTAACTTACACAGTTTTAAAAAAGAAATCTTGCTGCTTTCACAGCAAAGGTTTATTTGTCAAATGGCTGAAGTGAAGTTCTGTATTTTAATGCTGTGATTCTTTTTAAGTACAAATGCCAAAGTACACTAGGAACTGCATAAATAAAAGCAAGCTACAATTAGCAGAATGGACTCTCCAATGCAGACTAGTTTGTTCACCTTGGGCTCAACCCTCCAAACATTTATTACCAAGCATGGTGCTCAAGATTTTGCAGTCGCACACCTCTCAAGCACGACATTCAGTGGTGTTTGTAGGATCATGCCCTTATTGGCAAACCTGTAATGCAGTGATTCATCCTGACATTGGTTTCAAGCCTTACACAGGATTTGGAATGAAGGAGGTAGTATACATATTATTGTAATGAGATTAGTATGAAAGATGTTACTGAAATCTATTTATTCTATATTTTGTATTTTTTTCCCCCAAACACAAAATAAATACACCTCAACCCTATACACACACATACACACCTTAACCAAGAACCCCCCACTAAAACTATAGGGTTACATTTTTTAAACTAACTCCCCCCAGGGGAGTCATGCTGGGGGACAGAGGCTGTATTCTGCAAGGTCATGGGATGGTCTCAAGGATCTAACAGGTCTTCTCCTCTCTTCTATGAGCCTAAATCACAAAACTTTAAAATAAAAGGAGATGTTGGCGGGTTACCCACAACTACATTTTCAACTTTAAAGATATACTGAATGTATTTTTTTTAAATTCTTTGCTTTTAGACATGTGTAGTGTGTACAGAGTTCAAGGTAGGCACACTCAAGAGTTTAATGATAGAAATAAAAATCTCATCAAATAACTTGGGGACATGAGCTTCTTCCAAGATCTTTGGATGAGACCTCATGATCTGATTCTGACTATGAAAACAAAGTTTGCTTGCGTGTAGCTTTGTCATTATCTGAAATTGCCATGCTGGCAGTATCTGGACCAAAGGTCACAGCTACTTTCCTTCTAAAGAACTGCCTTCACATGGGAGTTATTCCAGAGAGCCTGTTAAAATTCACACCCCTACCTTAATCCAAATTAACCTTCAAGAGTAGACAAGCCCTAAGAGATGGGGTGTGACAGAGAATCAGAGAGAGAGCCACCAAACAAGCAGGCACCATTAGGAGGAGAGCTGAGACCTGAGCACTCCCAAACTTAGGGCAAGTTTGGATCTGGATGGGGACTTCACAGCTGGGTCATAGCCAAAGCCAAAACCTGATCCAAACCCATCCAAAACCAGGGGGAGCCCAGATCACCCCAATATAAACTTTGATCCAAACCTGTCCAAAATCTGGGGGAGCCTAGATCCCTGGCATTATTATGTCCATTAATATACCATTATTTATGGTATTACTCAAAGACCCCAGTCTGGGCCTTGTTGCGCTGAGACTGTACACTCTACACACACAGTGCACACACACTGTACGCAGTACACACAGAGAAACAGTACACACACACTGTACATAGTACACACAGAGCACCCTGTACACAGACAGTACACTATACACACAAATAACATGCACACACTACACACAGAGCACACTGTACACACTACACACACAGTACAGACAGTACACACAAAACACTGTACTGTGTGTATACACAGACTATATACACACTGTACACAGACGCACACACAGAGCCCGGGCCGGCCGGTACCCTCCATTCACTTGCTGCCGGAGCCGCCCTCCCGCCCAACCGAGGCGGATGCTCCGCCGGGGCTCGGGGTTTCCCAGCCCGGACTGCCCGGCTGCGGCGCTGGCTGGGCGCGGTCACGGCCCCCGCTCCGGGAGCGCTCACCTGGCCGGCGGCCGGGCCCCCAGAGTGCAGAGCGGCCGCAGGGCTCGGGTCAGCAGCCGCCTCGCCGCCATCTCCCCGGGCTGGGTCACGGACTGGGCCCGCCCCCGCGCGGAGCCGGAGCAGTACGGCCGCTGGGGCGCCCTCTAGTGAGCAGCGCGGACCCCGCCCGCCGGCGTGTAACACGCCCAGCCACGCACACCGACACGGCCTGCTGTGTGTAACACACCCAGCCACGCACACCGACACCGCCCGCTGGTGTGTAACACACCCAGCCACGCACACCGACACCGCCTACCGGCGTGTAACATGCTCAGCCACGCACACCGACACCGCCTACCGGCGTGTAACATGCTCAGCCACGCACACCGACACTGCCTGGAGTGTGTAACACACCCAGCCATGCACACCGACACCGCCTACTGGCGTGTAACATGCTCAGCCACGCACACCGACACTGACAGCTGATGTGTAACACACCCAGCCACGCACACCGACACCGTCCGCTGGTGTGTAACACACCCAGCCACGCACACTGATACCACCCGTTGGTGTGTAACACACCCAGCCACGCACACCGACACCGCCTACCGGCGTGTAACATGCTCAGCCACGCACACTGACACTGCCTGGAGTGTGTAACACACCCAGCCATGCACACCGACACCGCCTACCGGCGTGTAACACGCTCAGCCACGCACACCGACACTGCCCGCTGATGTGTAACACGCCCAGCCACGCACACCGACACTGCCTGCTGTGTGTAACACACCCAGCCACGCACACTGACACCACCCACTGATGTGTAACATGCACAGCCACGCACACCAACACCGCCCTCTGGTGTGTAGCATGCCCAGCCACCCACACCGATACTGCCTGCTGTGTGTAACAAACCCAGCCACGCACACCGACACCGCCTACCGGCGTGTAACACACCCAGCCACGCACACTGACACCGTCCGCTGGTGTGTAGCACGCCCAGCCACGCACACCGACACCGCCCAGTGATGTGTAACACGCCCAGCCACGCACACCGACACCACCCGCTGATGTGTAACATGCACAGCCACGCACACCAACACTGCCCTCTGGTGTGTAGCACATTCAGCCACGCACACCGACACTGCCTGCTGTGTGTAACACACCCAGCCACGCACACCGACACCACCCGCTGATGTGTAACATGCACAGCCACGCACACCAACACCGCCCTCTGGGGTGTAGCACGCCCAGACACGCACACCGACACTGCCCGCTGGTGTACAACACACCCAGCCACGCACACCGATACTGCCCACTGGTGTGCAACACGCCCAGCCACGCACACCGACACCGCCTACCGGCGTGTAACACACCCAACCACGCACACCGACACCGTCCGCTGGTGTGTAACACGCCCAGTCACACACACTGACATCACCAGCTGGTGCATAACATGCTCAGCAACGCATACTGACACCGCCAGCTGTGTGTAACATGCCCAGCTACGCACACTGACACCGCCCGCAGGCATGCAACACGCCCAGCCATGCACACCGATACTGCCGCCCGGCTGGTGTGTAACACACCCAGCCACGCACACCTGCACCCCCTGCCAGTGTGCAACACACACAGCCATATACTAGGGTTGGCACCTAGCTGCTTATTGCACTGCCTTGCTGGTTAAAAGATGTAATGTGCCAGGATTTATTTTCATTTGTGATACATTAGAGCACTCTTCAATTCACACTCCCATAGTCCAGGCGGCAGTGCCATGTTACGGTAAGGTAAGAAAAAATGATAACATAAAAATACGCATATTGTGTAATTTTATGTGTGTGTGTGTGTGTGTGTGTGTGTGTGTGTGTGTGTGTGTGTGTGTGTGTGTGTGTGTGTGTAG